CTCTCAATTCCAAACACTAATTATGGATACCACCGAACAATGAGCTGAGCTCCAGCTGCCTTATACAATCGCTATGGTGGAGAAGAAAAAAAGTGGAACAACTGCTAATCGTCAGGCCCCTACGCATCCCACAATGTACTTCCATTTAGATGCATACATGTACCTATGTGCAATGAATTGTGACCATTTCTGTTGGGTAATTCCAATTCTCCTCAACAACGACATCAGCAATACCCATCAACAATAGGTAACTCCGTTTCGATCGGAATATAAATTGAGCTGGCCTCTAATCGCGCCACTACGCAGGGATTCTATCACCAGTGATATATTCTTGACATATCCTGTACAACGTCAACCCGAAGCCCACTGAATAGCAATGAGCCAAGCCGGCTGCGGGCATTAGTTGTCGGATCTCAAATAAGCCATCGCCGTAATTCGCTCTCACCGCTATCTGCATCTGACCAATGTCGTCAAACAGCGCATACATCGCTTCAAGTTAAACTCCTCTGTATAGTGCAACTTAGCACGCCCAGAATTCGCTACGGCGAGTCTCTGACAGAACATGTATGGCGCCTGGGCTGAAATGCCAGGATCTGGTCAACCCCTAACTCCTATTCCTGAGACCAATGCTCGATCCACGGTATTACTTTTATAAAATAGCGCAATCTTCTCTTGTCGCTTTTTTGGCGGACGGTTACTGGGATTCAAACGATCCGTTCATCACCATAGCTTAGTTAACCTACCCGTCTGTTTGATATACATTCGTGTCGTTCCATATCCAATGGATGATGAAACATAAGTCAGATTATAATTATTAAATATAACACCTCTTTCACATTAGAAATCCCCATTAGGGTCTTAAGCATGAACTGAAGTACTTGATCAGTTGCTGAAGGACTCAGCCCCCTTTATCGTAATCCTGCCAAGTCCTGCAGAAGAATCCCTCGATCTCTCTTCTCTTCCTTTTTTTTTTTTAATCCTTGGGCAGAGTTATCGGATCCGGGTTAAGACTTCGACGACAAAGGATTGATACTTAGTTATATACTGCAAAGGCTTACTGCGTAACAACATAGCCGATACTGAGCACACACCCCAATCAGTAATTGAGCGCGGAAGGTGATATGTAGTCTTAAGAGGATGTGCTAATCTTCCCTTCTTTGGCGGTACGAAGACAGTGGCCTCTCATGATAATATGCCCGCCTACTTAGCATTTACTTCAGCTGTTATAGTAGCATCTGCGGGAGAGCAGGGAGCAGGATCGCTGAGGATAGTTGGACCTTTGGTACCTAGTAGAAGCCCTGTGGGATAAACAAAAGAGATTCAATACAAATACAAACACAAACACAAACACAAACACAAACACAAACACAAAAACACAGATAGAATCATTCTTCCACGGCCCATAAGATCTGAGCAAGCATTCCGCTCTTTTGGAAACTGCTAACTTCAGCTATTACAGTCCCCTCCGCTTACAAAACTCTAATAATATATCTAGAGTCTGTTCATGGGCATCAACGACACCTACCGCGGTTGGCCCTATAGATCTCGGCAAGTGTAAGCATCGCGCGGACTTTCGTGGTAGTTATGTGTCTTCCTGGTGAAGGCAACTATTTTAGGGATTGTGGTTGAAGCCACTTTTACGCCAGTGCTCACAGGTAAGGGCTTTGCACTCAGTCTATTGCAATGATAGTTGCGCCGGTGACTTCTGTCCTCTCCTCCAAATGGCATCCAATTTCTGATTGGGTTTCTCTCACTTTGGTTCTCGTATGAGGCCTCAAGAGAGCCTTGTGGTAGCAACACAGGGAGCCTTCCGCATCACAAAATATTTAACTTCCGTTTTCGACATTTTCCTTATGCATTGTTTCCAAACTCGGGGTTGTATGCCCAGAGAGCCATTGTTCTTTTATGCTCTTTGTTCAACAGATATAATAAGACGCTACAGAGCTGGTAACAAATAACGAATATAATTAGCTAGCTAGTATAGCTTTCACCACACTGGAATTTCAATTCTTTACGATATAGATACATAAATTTCCGGATTATGGCATCCTCAGCTCCAATACTTCTGCCTGGGCCACCTCCACCCCCAGCGCAACCATTACCCCCAGCTGTACAACGAGAGCGAGATGAGGCGGCGAGAGAAGCGAGGAGAAGACAGGAAAGGGCCGTGGAAAAGCTCCGGTTCGAACTGAATGCCGGGAAATTGGCGATATGTGTTGGATCGGGCGTAACAATGTTTTCGGTCCCAGTTGCAGAACGGCAGCGCTTGGGGGTATGTAATAAGTGTCATTGCACATTCCTCGACGGGCTATCTCGAAAGCCAGGCCTCTCCAATTAAAACCCGTCAAGTGACATTTTCTCCTCAGATATGGATAACTCCCACACACCTTGGTGAAGAGGCAATTACTAACCTAAGTCTTTGTCTTAATAGTGGACCGGTCTAGTTATGAATGCCGTTCACTACATCGAAGACCAGGCCGCTGGCATTGCTCATGAGAATAGGCGAGAAATCCGAGCGGCGAGAAGGCTACTAAGGAAACAGAATGTCACGGAACATGACCTATTTGACGCTATCAACAGGGTGACCACAGTGATGAAGAAGCGTGCCGACCTTTACCCAAGCTGGCTGAGACATGCATTCGAAGGCTTATACGACAGGGTTGAGAATAAAGAGTTACTCGATGTCCTAAGGCAACTACAACGGTATGTATTAGGTAGATATATGGTGTGGTGGGATTCCGGCCCTTGCTTCCTAGAAAAGCCTTCATTTCTCTATGATGCAGGAACCAGCTAATTTTTATGACAGTGAGTTAAAACACTTTTATTTTGTCGCCGTCGAACTTGTGAAGAGAATATCAAGTATATCCTAGAAATGAAGACTATAGATATTGACACTACATGTTTTAACACTTTAGGAAAGGGAGCGATGTTAATGACTACAAACTACGACGACCTACTTGAGAATCATTGTGGACTGCCTTCTATTTCTGCTTCGGATACCGACCGTCTATACTCATTTCAACGGAGATCTTTTGACGGTGTATTCCACCCCCACGGCCATTGGAAGGACTCGAGTAACGTCGTGTTATCGGCGGAACACTATTATGACGTTGTAAGACACGAGGGAGTCCAAGAGACGTTGAGACACGTCCTATCGTGAGTATAAAAACATGTCGTTCTGGCATTTTAGACCTTAATCTCTAGAAACGAAAGATAAACAGGCTGACACGACATGTTTTAATATACTAGCACTAGGACCGTGTTGTTCGTAGGTTGTGGTGGAGGCCTGCAAGACCCGAACGTCGGCCCGCTCTTGCGTTGGATCGGAGAGAAGCACGCAACCCGCGGGGCTGGTCACTATTTGCTTCTCCCTAGGATAGAGCAGAACCCGGTACCAGCGTTGTCATTGAACCATCTTGTATGCGAAAACTATGCCGATATCCCAACCTGGCTGACGAGGTTGTTGGATCAGAGTGACCGGCGTGAGGGTAGGGGTAAGTTATCAAAATCAAACATAGTTATTCCGAGTCTAACTCTAGCCTGTAGTCCACGAGTTTTCGGAAAATCGTCAGCGGGAAAACATTAGTAATTGGCTTTCGCCCGTCGACCAGAGCTTGTTTCTTAACGACATTTTGGATCTGGAGATGGGGCCGGCAAATCCGTTTCACCAGGAGGTAACCGGCCGTGAAGACTTCTGGGATTTGGCCGGTAATAGATTCTTCTGGGTCACGGGAGATAGTATGTCCTATTACCTGCTGTTATTTAAGTAGATACACAACTGACCGCATCCATGTGTAGAAGGATGGGGCAAGACGGTATTCTGCTCTTCAGTTATAAATAGTACAAGGCAGATGTGCCGCCGAATAAGCGCCAACCCGCCACGGTCCCGAGACTCTCTTGCTTACTTCTTCTGTACCACGTACGACGTACACGAAAGGACATCGACGTTGCACCAGCACGACTTCCACACATTTTGCTGCACTGTTCTCGAACAGCTATGCCCACCGAGGAAGATACATGATGCTCTTCGCCAACTGTACAGCACCTGCACGCAGTATCATCCGGATAGACGACCCACCAACGCGGAGCTCCAAGACGTCCTAATCACGATTATTGATTCATGGGACCGCGAGATTGTCAAGCCAGGCCAGGACAATACCCAGCCAGGGGAGACCTATCTCATCCTGGACGGCTTAGACGGGCTTTCCAGAACTTACCAAGATCCTTATGTGAGTTTCTTGAGAGAAATAAAGACTCGTGACTTTCACCACTTCCACATACTGTTGGGAAGCCGGGACTTGGGCTACGTTAGAAACCTCCCGGGCCTGCCCTGGAACCAAATCATTTGTAGTGAGCTCTCCGTCGGGAATGTAATGGATCAATATATACAACGACGCGTCCATAATGAGGAGGGATTTTGGAATATACATCCACCACCCAATGCAGCAAATAGAGCACGGGTCGTAGATACGCTGCTTCAAACTGGACACAGGCAAGTTACACTTCGCATCAGCTACTTATCTGTACACCCTTCTTGACTAATAATCCCCTATAGCTTTCGATGGGCCTATTGGAAATTGCAGCAGTTAAGGGTGATCGACGTCCATGGCGTCATCATAGACGCTGTTATGGACACACCATTCGACAGCGACGACGACGTCGACGAAGACGGCGAAGCGGAGCGGGCCCGTAAACGCGCAAAGAGAGCCTAATTTTGATCTCAAATTTTATGTAAAATAGGAAGAGGTAAGTAAGTAAGGGCGGGAATATGTTGTGGAAGGTGATATTAACGGTTACAATATAGGAATCTTTCTGCTGCAATGTCTAAATAATGAATAGAGTCTAATTGATTTCCTTTCTCTTGCGATTCAAGAGGACAATTCGGGTGATGTCACGCAGTGGATTTATCATATATGGCAGTAGTAACATCCAATGACAACCCCCAAAAATAAATATGTAAAGTTTCAAAAAGAAGAATCAAAATTAGGAATTTTTTTCAACGACACTGGCCCGATTCGAACGGGCGCCTCCGAAGAGATGTGATAGACACTGACTACTAATTTTGTACATTCATAGTTGTTCGAGTCACACGCGTTAGACCACTCCGCCACAGTGCCAATAGTAAGATACCACCATGACGATTTTGGGGGTTTTGACAACTAATAAGGGCTCAATACTAAGCTGTTTGTCCTATGAGTTCTCAAGGGTTCTGGTTTTAAAAGTGGGTGGCGGGGCAGGATACCTACCTACCCACTACCATACGGAGGATGCCTTCAAAAGTTTTTTCCATAGGAAACCCCTGTCGGACCTACCTGCCAGCTGCTACAAACTACTGCCAACTGTTAACAGATTTGTGTTAATACTTAGGTAGGGATCACGTATGAGATAGGGGCCTAAAAGACCTAATTTGTATAAGGCATATGATATCTTATTAGTCATAATAAGATATCTTTGCCTTAAGTGGCAGCTGGCGTGTCAGCTGATAGCTTTGTTGCTAATTGGCGGTGGGTCTGATAAGGGTTTCCTATGGAAAAAACTTTTGAAGGCGTCCTCCGTAGCAAGTACAGATTTTGGTGGGCTTCAGGGCGGTAAGACATGCACTAACAAAGCTAGCCAAAGGGGGAAAATAGAAGGGGGTCATTTCTAGTCCTTATTGTAAGGGAACATTTAGGAATCTATGGTGGTTTCTCTGCAGCGTGAGACTTCATAGGAACGTCCAGCTCTCGAGTCAAGTTTACTTATCCATCAGGCGTTAAATTTAACCGTCTCAATGGCAGATATGCACCCTACTCTTCTTTTCGATTCACCGTGATGATTTCATAACCCGCATGTGCAGAGCCTGACTTACCTCGAAACCAACCTCTGATACGCCGCCCGTAACGACGGCGACGCGGCTGTCTAGGCTTGTAGAGTGGACCTCCTTGAGTCCCATACCGCCACATATAAAGATACTTTCTTATTGTAGAGATCGCACTGGAATTGAGTATATTGAGTGTTCCTCGGGAAGATATGCTAGTCTTGCCCATTTCGCTAGTTAAAGCGTAGTGCCGAAGACACGGGGAGGCGGCTCAGCCAGTGCTAGTATATGTAATGAAAGTAGATACACACAAATGTATTGGACTAATTGTAACATCTGATTTTCATAAGAATACAGGTCCCTGTGGGGACGCTTAAGTTGGATGGTCTTACAGAGTGATAAAGGTGACTCGAGTTGAATAAACGCGAACATTAGACTTGAATTTCATCCATGGCTCATAAAGGAAACCCAACAAGTAGAATGGCTCAAGTCAAGTCGATCAAGACGATTCTGCCACTTAAGACGCAAATAACCCTCGTTGCTGTACGGCTTCAGCGATGCCCATTGCTGCCAAGACCGAATAAGGTCTCGAATGCCTTTTATATTAAACTTGAACCACTCCCTGTGACTTATATGGCAACCTGGACATCCTGCTGACTCGCTCATCCTCACGCTTCCGAGCAGTAAATGTACGATTCTCTCGTAGCGACGAGGGCTAGGCATTTCCCAAGTACCAATTAAACAAGGTTGGTATTGACAATTTCGGTAAATCTCGGCGAGGCGTCTATGGACGTTACTTGAATAGCCAATTTTAACGTATTCTTGACTAGATTTTCCATTCACCAGGTGAGAGACTGGCAGGCTAAAAGCATATATAGATCCGGGGATGAGCTCAGTATTGCGTAATGGAACCATAAGTTGAAATTTGACCTCTAAGTTAATTTCAAAGAATGTCTTTTCTTGACAATAGTACTCAAATGTATGACGGAGAGGCTGAGAGCGTGGTGGATCGGGTGACCTTGGTATTCGCGATGTCTCGTCTTCGGCGGACGCCGTCTCTGGAACCGGATGGTTCTTGGGAAATGGCGACGATCGACCGCACTTGGGAGTGATTGCGATTGAGTTTAGTTGTTGTTCCCATAACTGGGCCTTCGAACCGCTCTGGTCTTGGTGCCATCGCCTACACATCACCGCCCTTGCTAGTTCTTTCAATGTCTGAGGAACTTGGCGAGTAACGCTGCCACTGGCAGCAATGGAGCATGTGAGTTCTGCTATCTCTGTAGCGGTAGCTTTACTGAGCCAATTGCCACAATATGGTTTGTGCTTAGCCCGTCCATGACAGCTAAGTACATTCCCATGTTGAATATTAAGTAAATTCCGGACAGCTTCGGAGGTTTCTGGCCACCGATGATCATACCTCGCAGACATATATAACAAGCCAATGCATATAGCGACAGGGTAGCGAGAAGTATGCCTTAAGTGGTGGAAATAGGAGGCAGAAACAAGAAATGACCAACGTCTCGGTAGGACGAGTTGCCAAAGCCGGGTGTGACTATATGGAGCACCGGGGAGAGGCCTCCCAAACTTCCAGCTTCCCCAACCATTCTACTTCAAGTTGCCTACCTAGGATTTGTCGGGGAATGGCAAATGTGGTTCTAATCAGATGATACATACAGGTGGGATGCAGAGGTCCATTCTAGGTCTTCCCCATGGTAAGCGTACAAATCAGGAGAGAGGAACGTTGCGATAGATTATGGTGGCCTCGGCCTTGTTATTTCCATCCCATTGATAGCTGGGGTATCCAGCCTATAGGCATGGCTACCTACGTAAGCAAGGATGTGACTATCCTTGGAGGCTGAGCTCAAGAGATTTATCAGTTTCAAGAATTTATGCCCGCCATGGACCGCCATGGATTGTTTACATGGTGAAATGCAGCTGTTTGTAAACGAGGTACGCACCCAACTATGGCAAATTAAATAGAGCATGACGATCGGGATTAGGTGATGGAAGAATAGAAGTTACGAATGTATTTTACATATAGATATGATACCATATGCTCCCCCATGCCCATTCCAGGACACTAGGGAGGGCGGGATGCCGAGGAGCGAAGAGTTGGTTGACCATTGGGATAGGGGTAAAAGATGAGACGTTGAACTAATCGCAACATTTTACTCGACCAACACGTTTGATCTGGGGCCGCATCAAAGTCGACCTTGTCAAGCTTTGGTGGTTATTTTCTCATTGGCGTTTATAGAAGAGATATGACTGGGTATGATTTGCTTGAAGGAGCCACATGTCCAGATGGATATATATCCCCTCCGTCAGCTACTACTCATAGACCTTGGTTGGGTTATGTACGTGGCATTACTCCATAAAAGCCCGGGTTCAGCACGGCTTTCTCCAAATAAACGTACTAGTAACTCAATTAAAGGAATGTATCAGTCTTTCTACAAACTCGTACTTAGTAGATCTCTATACTTGGAGCTTAATTGTGTTGTGTAGATAATTTGGGTGGAGTGTAATATTGCTTCATGGCAGATTGCACCGGGTTGCGTCAATTGACTATGAAGGATCCAGGTCGAGAACTATGTACATTTATATATAAATTTAGAAACAAATATGTACATGTAGTTTTAACTTGTCCATCATAGGAGTATAGTATATGCATGTAGTAATATAACATAGATACATATATGTACATACCACATATTAATGGGCAATACCTATGGTACATGTCTGCCCTTATATATCGGCGCACGAACCAAATACAAGTTACATCACGCAATACGTGCATAATCACGTGATAGCAACCACGCCGCTAAGCCCTAAACCACAAGAAAAAAGCCACAAGCTTGGGATCACATGGCTTTATCTTATCGGCGTTGCTCCGTCAACCAACGAAGAACAAATTAAGCACAACCCAGAAATCAATTTCTCAATTTCATTCCAGCTTGCAAAGCATTCATGTATGCATGCATGCATTGGATGCAATTGAATCATAAATTCAAGCTGAATAGTTTGTGACCCTTTTTGTCTTTCAACGTCGCATTATCACCGTCTCAGTAATCCCTTTAACAACTACTACTCACTGCTATCACTAGTCCTGAATGGCTTCACCGCTCTCACCATCTAGTAACGCGACCCTGAATTCTGCAACATCTCCGACCAGTCGCCGATTTGATAAATATAACGTCCAATTGCACCTAACGACCAACATGACTAGCAAACACGTCATTAGTGACGGCGACACGGCGAGCCCTCAGTTTACCTCCCAAACAGACGACGAGAAACACAGTACCAGTCATAACCAAGAGAATGCACCATCATCATCATCATCATCATCCACATCCACATCCACATTCAAGTCGCGACACTCGCGAATCTTATCCGGCACTGAGCTGTCTCCTCTCAAGATTCTAATCACTAAGGATGAAAATGGCGATGCTGAGTCTCGAACGCCCCGAAGACAGCCTTCACCAGCCAAGAGTCCGAGAAAGATAGCGCCTGAGAAGCGTTTCCCGGTCAGAGTCAACAGCAGCCCGTCGCCTGCATCAGAGACCCCAAGGCCGTTGGTGAAGGAACAGGAGATGACTATTGAAGAGGCACTTCGCCGGAATGAAGGTCTCGCAAATGCCATTAAGATTTTCGAGGATGAAGACACTGTTATGGAAAGTTCGGAAGACAATGAAGGTGACATTACATCTACGTCAATTGAAGACCAACCCGTCGAAGACGAGCCTTCAGGTGTGGACGACACCATGATCAGCACTTTCAGCAATTTCTCTGCGGTGCCTAACATGACCATGTTTGCAAGAATTGGACATAGTCCTACCAAGTTTGCTAATGTGGGAGGAACTCCCAGCGCCTTACGATCTCGCCGCGAGTTATCACCTTCGAGAACCCCTAGACCCCCTGTCATGCATGATACCGGAAATACTACGAACCTTCTCGTTGATTTTACTGAGCAGATTAGCGGGTTTTCTTCCAGGTATGCACAACAGGCATCGAGTCGGAACCAGGTGACTGTCAACACTCCGAGGAACACTGTTCCTATGACGCCTCAACGCCCACAATCTAACCTACTCGATTTCGACATTCCACCCCTCCCCACACCCCGCAGTATCCCAACCATAACACCTAGAGAGCTTGAGTCGCTCAAGTCGGGCTTCAACTCCGAGATCAGCAGCCTTAAGGCTTCCCTCAGTGGCAAAGAGGCCGAGGTATCGTCCCTTAAGACAGCAGTTGGTGATGCAGAAAAGCGTGTGGGCGAGTGCATGGAACAGCTCCGTGAGATGCAAGCCATGAAGGATGCATTAGCCG